CCGGCTTTTTTCTTTTTGCTTATGTGGTGCTGAGGAATCGAACCCAGGGCCTCAGGCATGCAAGGCAAGCACTCTACCACTGAGCCAACTTCCCAGTTCCCTTCTTCAACATTTTTAGATTTTTCTATTGTTTCTTTCTTCTTTTGGGTATTCTAGTGTCCATGGAGGCCATTTTTAATGGGGATATGAAGAGCCATTATTAACCACCTCAGATGATCCACATCACAATCCTGTAGCAACTCTGGCCATCCAGCCTCAAGCTCCAGTCACCTCCAAGGGGCTTTCTGTTAATTTCTATGGTAAATCCTTAATTATTAGGAGCAGGAGTGGTTGTATATTAGTATTATTAGTCTTCCAAGGGGCCTCTCCCAGTTGAGTCACCTAGGATGTGCTACTCCTGCAGCAACAAGTCCTGAGGCCTAGGCAATAAGTCTTCAAAGGCCCACCTAAGGACCAGATCTGTGGACTCAGCAAGGTGGCAAACAGTGAGGCGGTAATGTGGTCCATGCCAGTACAAACAGGGGGGGTCTGGGGAGCCGTTAGGAACTTTGCACCCCCAACTGGTGGACTCTCTGGAGCAGCCCCGAAGCAAACAGCGAGGCGGCAATTTCCTCAGCGGCGGGACTGCCCAACCGGATGGCCACCACGCCGACTGCCAACCGTTATGACCTCTTGTGCCTCCGCCCCCAGCGCCTGCGCACTATGTCAACAGCTATAACCTCTAGTGCCTCCGCTGGCGCCTGTGCACAACACCAGCCAGGTTCATGACTCCATTTACTCGCATGCGCCATCGTGACCCTGTGGACAATCTGGTATTCTGTTTTATAATACATATATTAGTTATATTTGACAAGTAGTTGTCCTGGACAGAATATATATAAACACTCATGATGCCAACTTGGTAAAAGAAATTGTTAAACATGGATATACAAAGACATGTTATAGACTGAGTTATAGTGATACACAATGCAGTTTTTTAGAAATCATTTATGCAGAAAAATCATGTTCTTTTAGGAAGACCTTGTCATTAGCTCAAGTACATGTATTCCTGAAGAATCTACACTAGAGAAAAATAATCATTATCTTGGTACTTTACTCTTAGAATGAAAGCTATTCAAATCTAAAACACTGATACATGAAAATAAAAAAGTATGGAAATACTGCAACCCATCCACTTATTCACTGCCAACAATCACTAAAAAACAAAAACTACAATAACCAAAATTAGAATAAGTTGCACTGGAATCATCATTTAATGGAATCATCATTTAGCTCTCTGACAACTTTATGAAACTATTTTTATTACCCCATCAACTTCATTTGACATCTTTCATTTGAAGCTAAGAAAGGGCAAGTGACTTGCTCAAAATCACAGAAAAAAAACCAACAACAGTGTGTGTGTGTGTACGTGCACTCATGTATGCAAGTGCTGGTACTGGGGCTTGAACTCTGGGCCTGAATGTTGTCCCTTATTCTCTCAAGGCTGGTGTTCTACCAATCCAGCCACACCTCCATTTATAGCATTTTACTGCTTAAATGTATTCAAACCTTCATTCTCCGATTTGGGTCCCCTGAATAGCTAGGATTACAGGCCTGAGCCACCAGTGCCCAGCCTCAATCCTCTTTCTTCTTCAATTGTCAATACTACATGGCAGGCAAGAATTATAGGTGACTAAAGAGGCTGAGTGGAAGGGATCTGGCTCAGATGTTAATCACTATACTACTCTCTCAGTAGTCAGATGCTGTGAGCAATGGACTTCACAGAAAACAAGATCCTTTCTCAAAGTTTTCCCAAATAAGTAGAAAACATCCCTAAGTCTTAAAGTTACTTACAAATTCCTCAGAATGATATTTTAATACAACATCTACTAAAATAACATTTCTCTACTTATCTGCGATTTTAAGTGATACATACCTGATAATGACATTAAAGTATTATTGATAACATATAGCCAAGTACACTTCCGTGGGAATAGCTAAAGAAAAAAGAGGAAGATAGTTAAATATTTCCATGTTCTGCTCTTAAAATCCTTTATCTACAAATTCCAGCACTCTAAAATAGCACCAGTGGGTGTGTGACTCTGTGCTGCAGTGCTTTCCTGGCCTTCCTTGGGTTTGCTTTCTACCACCAAACAGCATAAAACAAAAATCAACTGTTATAAAAATATTTTCTGATTTTCAGGAAATATTTTGACATGAATAAGGTCAGTACAATGTTACCCCTTTAAATATTTACCAATAAAATTGAAATTGATAAAATTAAGCTATTTGAAAATTTTGCCCAACTGATTTTCTGAATTGAAATGTTTCATTACCTGTTCCATAGTTGCTTCATGTAGCTCATTGAGATTCAATGTGTAAATACCATCTTCAGTTCCAAAAATAATGTACTGATCTGAAACAGTTCATCAATTACCAGAACTTACTATCATTTCCTGAAATCACTCACTAAAATAATATTTTACATTCTTACATTAAGAATTTGAGTCCATGTACCCACCCATCCAATGTAGAACCATTTTCTAAACTTCATGCTATATCACCTTTCCCCAATATCTTTCATGTTTTCAAAGCAGATATGTTTTGTTGGATAACTCACACTCACTTTTCTATTCTGTCTGCCCCTTCAATGTAATTATCATATCCTAATATTTTATTATAGTGATGGATTTTTTGCAAGATACTGCAAACAGCCCAAGAAAGAAATATAAATATAAAGTAAATATAAAATAAATATAAATATATAATATAAATATAAATATATAATATAAATATAAAATAAATATAAAGTAAATATAAATTGTATATCATGACACACAACAATCAACAAATACATCTAGTGTTTAGATGTTAGTTTTATGTAAATACAATCTCCTTAAAACGCACCAGAGTTTCTTGGAGAAAAATTAATTCCTAAGGCAAGAAAAGTAAAAGATAAATCCAGAGGTGTGCATGCGTGTGTGCGCACATGCGCGCATGCACCCACACACACACACACACACACAGATTTGGATACTTCAAACAAAAGGACACAGGACCTACCACTGCTGCTTAAAAATGTGGAATAATCTAAAATGTAAAAAATGTAAAATAAAAATAATTTAAAATGTAAAAATGTCAAAGGGAAGGGGTAACAAGTTTGACAAGAAATGTACTTATTACCTTACTTATATAACTGTAACCCCTCTGTACATCACTGTGGCAATAAAAAAATTAAAAAAGAAATTAAACAAATGAAAATAAATAAACATTAAAAAAATAAAGAGTAGCCTGGTACCAGTGGCTCAATGCCTATAATCCTAGCTACTCAGGAAGCTGAGATCTCAACTCTACTTCTAGCTTCTTCTGTGATTAATTGGAGATAAATCTCACAGACTTTCCTGCCCAGGCTGGCTTCAAACCTCAATTCTGAGATCTTAGCTTCCTAAGTGGTAGAGAGCCAGACTTGAAAATGGGACAGTATGCATACCCATAGTTTAAGCCCCAGGACTGGCAAAAAAAAAAAAAAAAGTGATGGAGCATATGAATTCATGGTTAAGTATAACATGTAATGGATTAGAGAAACAGAAACAACACTGTTGGGACAATTTTTTTTAAAAGACAGACTCCTGTTATGTCAAGGGCTAGGATTATAGGTTACTACATTTGGCTCTAATCTTTATTAACTGTACTGTGGTATGTGATAATTCCCCATCCACCCCCATATTGCTAGAAGTTGAACTCAAGATCTCTCATAGGCTGGGCAAAGACCGCCACTGAATACCCCAGCCTAAGAAATGATTCTTGGTACAAGAATCTGTAGCTCAATGGTAGAACAATTCAAGTAAAGGAGTATGAGCTTTCCAAATTTCTTAAGTATTCAGGAGAAAATGTATATGTGGATAGAAAGAAGTAAATAAATAGGCAAAAATAACTGGTGATTCTGGGTCTGAGGTTCTTGAAGTATTTTTGTAAATTTTAAGTGTGAAGTTATACCAAATAAAAAGTTCTAAACAAAAAAATTTTTTTTCAATTGTGCTTTGTAATAGTGGCATTTAAAGCAGATCATTTTGACTTTTCTTTATTGTATTGAAGCAGAAGCAAACACTTCCTGAACCTACTACCCCTGCTAAGTGTCAGATAAACAAATAGGCTTCCTTTCCTGCAAAAGGAATCAGAATATTCTTATTACAAATGATAATGCTGAAAATTACAAGTGTTAAACATATTTCCAAGTCATATGATAATGACAGAGAAGAAATTAAAGACTATATGATTCCCCATTTTTGTCTCTATATATCATGCACCTCAATTTAAAAATATAGTCTAGGGCTGGGAATTTACCTGAGTGGTAGAGTAAACTCCTAGAATATACGAGGCCCTGGGTTTGTTCCTTACTGTGTGTACATACAAGTGTATGTGTGTGGTCTCAATTAAAAATGAAAGTTATTCTGGTATTATTTCAGATTTACAAAAAAGTTGAGTAATATAAACAATTCCTGGATAGCCTTAAGGTAGGATTCCATCAATGCTGGACACATTTGCTATTTTTTCATGATTTTTCTTTCTCTCTCCTCTACATCTATTTTATTTTCAGGACAATGTAAGGAGAGCTATGAACATGAAGTCCCTTTAACTCCTAAATATTTCAATGTGTATTGGTTTTTGAAAAAGTCTTATATAACCATAGAACACCAACACCAAAACAACACTATTATGTAATCTCTAGACCTTGTTGAAATTATAAATCATCCTAGCAACTTAATTCCAAACCAAGAATGCAATTAGTTGTGGAGTTTCTTTAGTCTCCTTTAAGTAAGAATAGTTCCCATATTCTCATATTTCAATCTAATACTTTTAAACAAAAACCTATCTACCTTTAAAGTAAACAGCCTCAGTTCATTGACTAATATTAGGAGCTTTTCCCATAACAAATATGTTATATGAGAAATATGTGAAGTTCAGAAATCTTACCTTTTGTATCAGGATGTATCCAAGATGTTGCACAATTAATTTTCAAAGGGCAGCCATCAAAAACTTTTGAAAAACATGCTCCCATCTTATTTTTAAAGAAAGAAATGTTGACTTCCTTGATTAGACCATTTTAAATATGCTTAGAAAATCAAAAATGTCAAACTTACTCTTATTTGTATATATTTATGGTTTTCCTCAAAACAAAATATGTATTTTTAACATAATTTAATTCCTTCTACTAAGAGAGTCATAATCTTTTGTATTCTACTAGTTTATGAGTAAAATATAAAATTTATCAAACTTGTATATATTAAATGACATATTCCTGGAATTTTAAGTTTACTTTTCTTTAGAAACACAATTATATAAAATAAATACTTAAAAAAAGAAACACAATTAATATAAAACAATAGATTCTTTTTCTGATAACATTGTAGTAATTAAAACTACAGTGTAAACTACAGAATAGTGATAACAAATCACTATGTCTTCTACAGAATAAAAATGTACAATTTATAAAGCATCCCATTCATATGATTGTTTGAAACATGTTACAGATAATTCCTTGAAGGGGGCAAGTAACAGGATTAACATGTTTTGCTTTCTATTGTACATAGTCCAGTGAGAAAATGGCTTTAAACTCACATATAGAAGTGGGCACATATTGATATCATCATATTAAAATTAAACTAGCCTTTATAAGTGAATCTGAGAATCTAACTGCCAGTATTTATAAAAAGTATAACACTGTCTAATTTTTTTTTTGAGGCAGAGTCTCACTAAATTACCTAGGTTGGCCTTGAACTCAGAATCTTTCTGTTTTAGCCTCACAAGTAATGGGATTAGAGACATATACCACTATACTTGTCTTGCTTTCTAATTCTAATCAATTCACTCAAATTAGAGGATATGATTTGATCTACAAATGCATTTAATAAGTTTGTATTTCATAACAGCCTTTCTTTTAGTGGCTCTAGATACTTACTAGCTAATATACTTATTGTTTCTAAAGAGATTTTTAAAACATGGCTAATAGTTCACATGAAAATATTTCTTACCAGTACTTTTGGGGTGGGTGGAAGACCATTAATAGCTGGTTTCTGTGGGAAAGATAAAGTTATTAATAATGGAAGTCTTCTTAATCTTTTCAAAAAATAAAAGAAAAAAATTCAGTTATTTAAATATAAGCTAAAAAAAAAAAAGGTAAAGACTTCTGTGCTGCCCAGGCTACCTCCAAATGTTTAGGCTTTCAGGCCATCAGTCCCCCTGTGCTTAGCTTCTGGAACAGTTGGACAACAGGCTATCTGCATCTAAAATTAAAAAGACTATTTCCTCTCTAAGACAAATGTAGTATTAGCTTCAACTAATTGCCAAATGTGTGTTGTACTTACAGGGAAGTCTCTCTTGTCTTTTTTTCTTGGTAACTGTGGCACCTGTGCTGATCCTTCTGTATTTTCACTAATCAGTTTTGAAATACCATCACCATTTCCTAAAGAGAATCATGATTAAAGGTTGGTCACACAAATAAGCACAGTCTTAAAAAAGTAAATGCCCCTTCACCCCACTACTTCCTTTCTTTTGGTGGTTCCTTAAGAGAATATTTTCTACTGTGAGTAAATTTATCGTGTGTGTCTTTCTCTAGAGTCTACAGAGATTTCACTGCATCCACTGCAGTGTTCTTGGTACTAGGGCTTTAATTTGGGGCCTCACAGGTACGACTACTTAAACCAGACCACCAGTCCTTTTTCTTTTACTTAGTTTTTAAAAAATAAGTTCTCGCATTTATGCCTAGGCTGTCCAGGTAAGTAATCTTCCCATTTATGCTTCTATGTAGCTAAGATGATACTACTATGCTCAGATTTTATTGGTTAAGATGGGAATCTCACAAGCTTTTTGCCCAGGCTTGCCTCAAACTGATTTTCTTCATCTCTGCTTTTTATGTAGCTAGGATTACATGTGTGAGCAACCACACCTGGCTCAGAAGTGTTCTTAATCTATGACAATAATGAATACATCTTTCTACATTGCAAAGAAAAATGAAATCCAATCTATTGACACAGTATCATACACCATGTTAGGCTGTACTGCAAATACAAGTCAGATTTTCCTGCTTCAATGTATTTACTCATTCTTATTTTCCTGAGCATTGATTTAAGACCTTTAGTATCCTACAAGAGCCCTCCCTTATCTCCCTCAGAAAGCTCAAGTCTTCCATTAAATATATTATTTTAGAAGCTGTCTTATAGAGATGATCTCAGGCTGGCCTTGAACTAGCTATGCAACCTTATACTCCATACTCCTCCTGCCTCATTCTCCCAACTGCTGAGATTACAGGTGTATACCACTATAGTTAGTCCAGCTGTATGTGTATATGTGTGTGTGTGTGTGTGTGTGTATATATATATATATATATATATACACACACACACACACACATATATATACATATAACTTCCATAATTCCCAAGACCCTTGAGAGCAGTAACACACATTCATTTTCTAGATTTTATAATACTTTCTAGGCGATTATTAGAGTTGAAGTGAAATGAATCTATTTATAGCCCTCCATGTGGACTTCAATTTATAAAGCTTCATTTACAAAGAACATTTGCAAAGCTTCAAACCATTCATAGGAACCAAAGAAACTAAAGAAAAAAAATCCTTTAGCACAAGAACAAAATGTCTTTCTTTTCACTCTAATTGATTTACCCAGATCACAGTATCTAGTCGTATGCACTCCAGGGCTTCTGACACTGCTAGCCATACCCATAGAGGATGTATCTGCTACAGGACCACAACTTGGGCTACTCTGTCTTCTGAGAACCTGAGGAGCTCTGTTCTCTGAATCAGGGCAACGTTTTACAGTTGATGATTTTTCTTCATCTGGGAAGTTGTCCTCAGGGTAGCTATTTATTCTTGGCTGTACAAGACAAGAAAATACTTTTAAATATCAGTAGGTATCAAAACCTTTTAGAGGTAAAGGCTATCCCTGTTTTTTTTTTCTGTGCTAAGTTAATAAAACAAGCAAGCATTGAGTTACTCTACCAACATAATTATGAACTTCACATGCGATTTATAAAAATCTTCCATATCCAAACTGATAATAAATAATCAATTATTTAATGAAGAATAGTTCTAATGAGGTCAAATGTAGTAACAGACAAGTATCATAAATGGTTTTACCTTTCCTCCATGTAGTCAAGTATTTTCTCAAATGAATAATACTTTTTCTAATACCTACTAAACATAATCTTTGTTACAAAATTTTCCTTCCTACAGTTTACATTTTCATCTTCCTGAAGCAAACAGTATTTATCTAAAATATACTAAAGACAATTGTGAACAAAGTCAAAATCATTTGAAAAATGTTACTGAAACAAGAATTCATTGTTAAAAGTCTTTAAGCAGCTCACCTTAGGAGGTAGGGGAGGTGGTATTGCACGTTTTGAGGTTGATCTAATACACAGAGATAAATATAACTTAGATGGTGATAAATAACTGTAACATAAAATAAAGATAAACTTAAAATGCACTAAAAATGGGAGTATGGCTCATGTAGCAGCCTAGCAAGTGTGAAGCCCTGACTTCAAATTCCAATGCCACCCATAAAGGAAGGAAAGGAAGAATCAAAGGGAGCACGCAGCTCTTCCTAAAACTGAAAGCATTTGTGCCCAAGATGAAACTGAATTTTACTTGGACAAGTGATACGCAATGTGTGTAAAGCAAAAACAAAAATAGTAACACCTGGTAGCACAGAGATCAAAAGTAGAGTAATCTAAGGGGAAGGTAATCCTGCTAGTGGAAATAGTGCCAAGTTTTTTGGTGTTGTTGTTGTTGTTTTGGTCAGTCGTGGGGCTTAAACTCTGGGCCTGGGAATTATCACTCAGTTCTTCAGCTCAAGGCAAGCGCTCTACCACTTGAGCCATAGCGCCAGTTCCAGTTTTCTGAGTGGTTTCTGGGTTGGCTTTGAACCTGGATCCTCAGATATGAGCTTCCTGAGTAGCTAGGATTACAGGAGTGAGCCACCAGTGCCTGGCTAACAGTGCCAGATTTTGAGCAACCTTTCTGCTAAGGTTACTGGATACAGAATTGGTGTAATGTTGTACCCCTCAAGAACATAAATTAATGGAAACTAAATATATAAAAGTAGATTTTTACTCAAAAAAAGTAAGAGTATCACTTGATAACTTTTATAAATGAGCACATGAGGCCTATGAATCAGAATTTGCATTTTAACAAGAACTCTGGATCAAAAACATATTGAAGAGTTAGATATATCAAAGTTTCAGAAGCACAGATATAGCATACTGTTAACACACAGAGATTCTAACCTCAATAATAGGGATTGGCAACATTTTTATAAAGGGCCAGAAAATAAGTATTTTAAGTATTACACGGCATACAACTCTGCAGATGTTGTGTGAAGGCAGTTATAAATAATACCTAAAGAAAATAAGCATGACTGCATTCTAATAAACTTATATTTATGGACAGTGAAATTTGAATTTCACAGAAGGACATTTCCCCAACTATTAGAAAAGGTAAATACTTTTTTTTGAGGTACTATAAAATTTGAATTCATAGTTTCACACTTGCTCTACCACTGAGCCAAAATTCTAGCCCTACTTTACGCAGTTCTTTTTGTTGTTGTTTGTTGTAGGACTTGAACTCAGTGCTGGGGTGTTATCCCTGAGCTCTTTGGCTCAAGGTTAGCTCTCTATCATTTTGAGCCACAGCTCCAGTTCTGTTTTTTCTGCTGGTTAATTGGAGATAAGAGTCTCATGGAGTTTCCTATCTGGGCTGGCTTTGAACCATGATTCTCTGAGATCTCAGCCTCCTGAGTAGCAAGGATTAGAGGCATGAGCCACTAGCATTTGGCTGTGCAGTTCTTTCATTTCCTGTCTGGGCAGGTACCTGGACAGCAATCCACATATTTTAGGATTCTCTCCTTGTCACTGCTGAGATGACAGGTGCCTACCACAGGTGCCTGTTCACATTTCCTGTGATGAGATGGACTCTTTTGGACTCTTTTGTCCACACTGGCCTAGAACTGATCCATCCTCACCCTCCCAATAGTTTGCAATTAACAGGTATGACTCAATAGCTCCTGGTAGGAAATTACATTATTAGTACATGGGCTACACAAAAATAGGCAAGAAACAGATTTGGCTCATAGGCTCCAGATCTATAAGACCTAAAATGAATAGCTTGGAAGGCACAAACAGGTAAGTAACAATTCATTGAGGCCAGCTTCCATGCTTAATTACTGAAGGAAGAACTAGGGCTGACCACAGTTTTTTCCCCCCATGACATCTGGCAGTTCATCTTTTTCTTTTTTTTTCTGTCGGTCGTGGGGCTTGAACTCTGGGCCTGGGCGCTGTCCCTCAGCTCTTCAGCTCAAGGCGTGCGCTCTACCACTTGAGCTACAGCGCCACTTCCGGTTTTCTGGTGGTTTTATTGGAGATAGGAGTCTCACGGTCTCTCCTGCCCGGGCTGGCTTTGAACCGCGAGCCTCAGATCTCAGCCTCCTGAGTAGCTAGGATTACAGGCGTGAGCCACCAGCGCCCGGCTGGCAGTTCATCTTTTTCTATAATATTATTGCACATAGTATGTTCTGATTAAAGCAAACATAACAACCTTAATGGTAAGTACATGATGCTTTATGACAATAAAACAAGTCAGAAGCTTTACAATGACAACTTTTATTTTATTTTTTAGAGAACTGATGTTGAAATCAGTGTTTGCTAGGCTGGTACTCTTTTACTTTAATCATGCTTTCAGCCCTGCTTTTTTGCTGGTTTATTTTGGATATCGTGTCTAGTGGATCTTTCTACTCAGGGTATCCTTGAACTACAGTCCTCCATATCTCAGTTTCTTGAGGAGCTAGGATAACAACTATTTTTAGGAATAAAAATCAAAGCTTAGCAAGATAAATTACCCCTTTCAACCAATAGTGTTCAGTGAGTAATAGAATAACCAAGTGAAATAAAGTAATTGTTAGCCTAAGTAAAATACAGTTACTAATTTAAAAACCAACTTACTTGCCAGTATTTGAACCATCAACAAAAGGATTCCACTGTAATATAAAGTTTGAATCTGATGATATTCCCTGTAAAGGTTAAAAATATAGTTTTAAGTGTTATTTTCACAATAATAAATGTTAATGCTTGCCGTTTTATTTGCTTACAGATACTTTATAAGAAAAACTCCATTTTCATGACTGTTAATTAGATTTTTAAATCTCCAGTTAGATTTACTTTGCCATTTGATATAGTTAAGGCAATGACCTAATCAATATCAGTTAACATAAATTTAAGAAATTCCACAAACATACTACGTGTGTGTGTGTGTGTGTGTGTCTGTGTATCAAGCTCTCTTTACCAATATGGCAGTATGTTCTAAAGCAAAAGCTGAATGATTTGTATTATTACACCATGGAGAATAAAACAGAAACACATACAGTAAGAAGAACACTACATCCAAATGTTAAGAATGAGGAAATTCATTAACAGGATATTCTAAAAATTGTCCTTTATTAATCAAAGATAAAGTCAGGCTCAAGCCTATAATCCTAGCTACTTGGGAGGCAGGGATTGAGAGCTCATGGTTCAAGGTCACTCTGAGCAAAAAAAAGCCCTTGAACCTCCTTTTCAAGCAAAGGCTAGATGTGGTAGCATGAGCCTATGAGCCTGTTATCCCAGATATGAGGAAGCACAATGTTTGGGCACAAAGGCATGTGTCTATCTTCCCTAGTGACACAGGTAGGAGGATCAAAGTCTGGGGGTGAGGGTGGGAGTGGTGTGCTGGGCATGAGTGGAGACCTCATCTTAAATGTATACAATGTATAAAGGACTGAAGTTATGGCTGAATGTATAAAGGACTGAAGTTATGAAGTGGTAGACTATCTGCTAGCAAATGTGAGGCCTTGACTTCACTCCTCATAAGAAAAAATGGGGTAAAAATAGGAAGAAAACTTCTAGGCCAACTGTAACATTATCTTATCAATAAATGTTTGGATAAGGGTTAACAAGTAACTGACACTTTTTGGTCTCAGTTTTTCTGGGGATAGCACCCAGGGCTTTGTGGATGCAAGGCAAGGGCTCTGATACCAAGCTACATCCTCAGCTCCACAGATAAAATGCAAGAAGACACTAGGGATTCATGGCTGTAATACTAACTACTCAGATCTAAGAAGACTGAGAGCCAAGGATCAAGGATCATGATCTAAATCTAGCCCAGGAAGACAAGGTCCCAAGATTCTTATCTCCAATTAACTAGCAAAAAGCCAGAAGTGGGGTGTGGCTTAAGTTGCAGAATGCCAGTCTTGCATGAAAAAGCCAGAGAGGGAGGCCCAGAACTCAAGCCCACAAAATAGTAAGTAAATGCAAAACTTTATTTACCACAAACTAACCAAATTGATACAAGATCTTGAGAGTTTAAAGCTGAATATCCAATGCAATGTTTAATACCTACATATAAATCTTTCAAAAGACTCGAGGAAAGAAATGAACGTTTGAAGTAGTATGATATTATACTATATTCCAAATAAATGTCATTATCAACTTTTTCAAATCTTAGTGTGAACTTAATACCTTAATATTCTAAGTTTTCTAAAATTTCAATATGAAAATACTATAGAAGCCATTGTTCTTACCATTTCATCCCGTGCTTCAGTTTCTTTCCTTAGGGGAGGTTCAAATTGTAATCTATCAACTGCAAAATACAAAACAAATATTATAAACTCAGTATCTTAAATGGTTAATCTCAGAAATATAATAAGAGGTTTGTATATTGGTGGGAGTGGGGAGAGAAAAGACAAGAAACAGGAGACAAAATATTTTTATTTTTTAACTCTAAAGAAACTCCTTTCTTTATGCTGACCAAAAGACAAGAAACAGGAGACAAAATATTTTTATTTTTTAACTCTAAAGAAACTCCTTTCTTTATGCTGACCAAAAGAAAGTAAAAATCTGGACTATTTCTAACATATATGCCTAATTCCTCATTTAAATCTGGCCATGAAAAAGTACATTTGATGTAAACAAGATAAAAAAAATTCATTTGAAGTAGATGCCAATGGAATCACTTCAGAAAAATTTCTCTATAGTTCAGATTCTGTTTTGAGACTAATTCAGGATAAAACTTTATAGAAGAGAAGAACTTAAGAAAATTATCTCTATATTACGTAACAAGAATAAATGATTAGTGGCAAATTAAATGTTGCAGTGGTGTTCAGTAATCTATTATTATATTCTGAGTATTTTGTTTGTCCTTGTCAGATTCATTTCAGAACATTCAAAGAGTAACTTTTTATATAAAATATTCTAAAATAGATAAAAAGATAGGTTAGTACCTACTTATAAGGTATAAGAATTTTAAAATTCTAAAACCTAATGTGACTATGGCCAAAACTTTGCCCCTAACATTCACATCTGAATTAGAAATGTAAGATTCTGAAATATAATATCAGCAAACAAACAGCACTTAGAAAAATGCTTTCAAATAAGATTTGTAGCAATTTCTAAAAACAAGATTTCTAAAAAGCAATGCAAAGTACTGACATACTTCATTATATTGAGCAAAAAAGATAAATCATAGGGCTAGGAAGGTGGCTTAGTGGTAGAGTGCTTGTCTAGCATGAATGAGGCTTCAGTGCCACATAAAAAAAAAATTTTAAGTGTCAATAAGGATGGTAAGGGAAAACAAAGGAGGAGGCAACAATGCTTGATAAGAAATTTACTCATTACCTTGCTCATGTAATTGTAACCCCTCTGTATGGTACTTTCACAATAAAAAAAACTTATTAATTAAAAAAGAAAAAAAATAAATCATGCAATTCTACAAGTGAAAAAAAGGTGTCAATAAAAGATTGGAAGACATTCCATTAAAATGCAGTACCCACTTTAAACAATAATATAAGCAAGGTATCAGTGGTGTGTGCATATTCTTTTAGGTATGTGTGAGGCGGGGACTGGGAGGACTGTGGTTCTAAGCCAGTCATAGTAAAGCCCATGAAACTCAAAAAGTCCATGGCAGTCCGTCTTTACAGAAGATGAGCATGGTGGCACGAACCTGCTACTGTAGCTACAGCAGGACACCTACAACAGGCAGATAGACACTTAGGTGCACCTCTAGTGGGGAAGTGAGACCTATCTCAAAAAAAAAAGGAAGGAAGGAAGGAAAAACAAAGTACAAAAACACATAGGAGAAGGGCTGAAGGCAGGGCTCAATAGCAGAGTGCCTGCCCAGAAAGTGCAAAGTCTTAAATTCTGACCCCAGTATTGGGGGAAAAGACTTCATTAAAGTAATTAATAATTTGTTTAACTTCAGGTAATAACATTTTAATTAAAAAACTACAATTCATATGGAACCATTTCACTCTTATCAGAGATGAACTAACATTTTTTACAGTCACACTAGAATACTGCAGGGAGGTATGGAGAAACATTACAAAAAAGGCATAAATATACAAATAAAGTAACACTTTAATAATTAGACTTTTATAGCTAGTAAATTGAAAGACTTAAAGGCATGGTAAGTTATCAACTGATAATACTGAAAAAAAATGAGATTTAATTTAAATAAGATAAACATTTAATACATCAAAACAAACAAGAAAGGTATCCTTAAAAAAGATTGCTTTTGACTGGCCTAAAATTATTATAACCATGCTTTACAACACAGAACGCTACTCATGCCTTCAACTCTGTGTGTAAACTGAATACCCAATTGACCTTTGTAAAAGAAAAATCATGCTATTGCATTTGGATGAGTCTTTGGTCCATTCTGTTATATATTCTCATTAGTCTCCAGAAGATGACCCTGTTCTAACCATTCTGAAATTAAAAAAAAAAAACTGATCTGTCCTTATGCAACCAATTAAGAGAGAGGAAGGGAGAGACACAGGGAGAGAGAGAGACACAGAGAGGAAAGAGAGAGTAAACTAAATGAGCCAACTATGTTGGAACAAGGGAACAACAGAAACAACAGGACTATGATTCTTAAGAGCAGGGAAATATGCTGTGGTAAGATCCACATTAATCCTAATTTTTTTGCCTGGGAAGCTTCTCAAAGTAGGTCATAAGAAAGCAAATCCCAAAGAAGTCTCTCTCATTGAAGGAAACAAAGAGTGGAAGTTGGAGCTGATTAAGTAGTGGGAATCTGAAGGACAAAGTGCCAAAAATAAGAAAGTTGTTCAATGAATTAAATCTCTGGCTATATATTAAGAGTAAATCAAGGCATGTAAGGTAGAAATAGTAGTTAGAAAACAGTTAAAAGGACACTGAGCAACTGGAGAACCCATAATACCAGAAAAGATACTTGAGTTTACCCAGAGAAAAAGTCTTGTTGAAAACTCTAGAGAAAGTGGAAAATAGATTTGGAAGGATCAAGCTCCTCTATCAGGTAATTCAAAACTAATTAAAAATGATAAACTAAGGGAATTCCAACAAAACCAGAAAAGCAACCCATATTAAAGATATTCTGATATAGTTTGTAGTCTCAATTAGTCTGAGATTTTGTAACTTAACAATAATACAAGAATACCCAGCTCAACCCTCCAAAGCCACCAATGAAAAATGTATACCAAACACATACAATTTATTTCTGAAGCTGTCCGTTCAGCTCTGGCATTTCTGTTTGTAGATCTAATGGTATGACGAATGATTGCATGGGGCTGTGAATATAAGCATAATACACACACTTAAAAAATTCAATGACAAAGTTGAAAGGTTAAACTTTCTCCTTTAAATTAAATGAAAACTAATTGACAAATGATTTAGCTACTAAAAAGGTGAATCACAGGAAAAACAAAATAAATACAATGAACACTAAGATACTTTTACACATTTATTCACTTATTACGCAAAATGCTGAAGGGATTGACTCAGCAAAGTCAGGGACAAATCTTATCCTCAGAGAGTTTATAGTTACAAAAGACACAATATATAAATATTTACAAAATTAGAGAATGATCAGTACCATTTATTAAGAAGATAATAGATTCCTACTAAATTCCAGGGGAGGGAGAAACTCCTGTGCTGACCAAAAGGTGTACAGAAGTTCTGAATGAATGATATAATCTAAAGGTGCCTTGAAACACAGATATGCAGCCATGTGGGAGAAACCAAGCTATAGAAAGATTATGAAGTGATACAATGAAGAAAAGGAAACTATGGAATGTGTGCAGGCAGCAGACGTGGGTTACTGTTTGGGTGCAGTGAAGGTTAGGTGAGGAGATAACAAAGCTGGAAAGATTGGCTAAGGGTGAGTCAGATCATAGAGCCTCCGAATGTCAGTGAGAGCTCTCAGCAAAAGGAAGTTTTTGCAGATTTTATGGCAAACAAGTGGTATCACCAGAGTCGGATTTAAGGGCAATGGTTAAGTACACAAGAGAGCATGGAGGGAAATAGTATATAGAGAAAAAAATTACTGCAAGCAAACATAGTTTTTCCATCTAACTATATACTCTTCCTGCTCCTTCAAAGCTGGTACCTTTCACTCAATCTCTGTATGTCAAATTTCAAAACTCACCGATGGCTCTGAAAGTAGTATTTCTACCACAATACAGCCATCATACTAAGAGACTTATTTATTTTCTTGGTAGTACTGGCATTTGAACTTTGAGCCTTGAATTTGTTAGATAGGCACTCTACCACTGGAGCCATTACTCCAGTTATTTTTGCTTTAGTTATGATTTTGAATAGGGTCTCAGGTTTATGCCTGGGCTGGCCTGGACTTTGATTCTCCCATTTATACTTCCTGCATAGCTGGGATGATAGGCATGTAAGACCACAACCAGACTGCATTGGTTGAAATAGGGTCTTGTTATTTTTTTGCCCCAGCTAGCTTGGAATTATGATTCTTCCTCTCAAGTTAGGTTTACAGGTATGAGCTAGGTTTACAGGTATGAGCAATTGTATCTGGCCATGCCAAAGACTTCACAAGCTGAAGTGAGCCCATAATTCTGGATTTAAAAAATTCCTCATACTTCAATGCACTAACAAGCATCATCAGCTATGATATACAACTTGATACTCCAAAGCTCTCTACTTAACATCCTTATAGCTTACTCTCTCAATTGAATTATACTAGTTTAATGTACCTACTGTAATATCAAGCTCACTGATCTACTACTCACTAAGAGCATCTCCTTCTCTCTCTCTCTCCTATCTTTACTCTTCTCCCTATTAAGTTTTTATCTGCTATCTCAACTTTAAGCAATCTCTTGAAAATATTCTGAATTTCCTTTCACTGTTCACTATAGTATCACAGCAAAATGCTAACCCTGGACCAACTCAATCAGATACCTCTGATTTACATCTGCAATATCAATCATTACTGGGGCAAACTGCACAGTATAACACACTGAAAATTCATTTCATTTGAGCTCTCACACCCTAAGTCATCCAACCCATTTATTCTCAATTTCTATTTGACATTTCTCTGCATTCTTTTAACACGGTCAGGAGACACACTGCCACATCACAAAGAGAAAAAGAAGTCAATGCTATACTATCATCCTCTTCTGAAGTAAGAAGTTTTACTTTATCAAAAATCAAGTTCCTCATCATTCCCTAGACCTCCATATCTGCTTAGTGATCTTGTTTTTCTTGCATCTTTACTATCACACTGTTTCATAAGCATTTAATCCTATTCAAGTTTCCTCTGCACACATAAAATATGATCAAGCAATCAATACATCCCTTTCCAACACATTCTCCTCTAGCTAATGTTTAATCTTACCATCCCCTCACAACTAAATCTAACAAGTTACTGTTTATCTTTTGGTCCTCTCAACTCTTCTGTACCATTTGCAAATTATTCTTTTTCTATTTTCTATTTTTATTTTTGTTTGTCAGTCATGGGGGCTGAACTCTGGGCCTGTGCGCTGTCACCTCAGCTCTTCAACTCAAGGCTAGCACTCTACCACTTGAGCCACAGCTCTACTTCCAGCTTTTTTCTGCTTATGTGGTGCTGGGGAATCGAACCCAGGACCTCATACATGCGAGGCAAGCACTGTACCACTGAGCCAACTTCCCAGCCCTGCAAATTATTCTTGAAAAGCCATCAAACACAACCACCTATATCCAAAGATTACCTTTAACTTTCCTTTCCTTCAGTGTTTCTACTGAGCTCCTTTGCCTAGTTGATTCCACTCTCACCTCTTTATTTGCAATTCAAGAATTTCTCCCCAAGCTCCAACCACATCTTTGTCTTCTCCAACTGAAAGTCTTATGTATCATCTTCATCAGTATAAATGAAAGTTTTTCTCCTCAAACTTGATTTTATTCTATTTTTCATACCTCAGTTATATATGATAGTCTTGTTATCACTCAATCTCAAGTCTTCATCCAATAGTCAATTCTCTGAGATAATTCTCAAATTTATCAATTTTTCATCATTATTGCTCTAGCACTTTTATTTAAACTACCATTTTCCCCCTCCTGGTAATTTCAGTAGTCCTTTAATAGGATTTCAGTACAAAACTCACCATTCTATTTAAGAATGCCCATTTGGGGGCTGGCAAGGTAGCTCAGTGGTAGAGTGCTTGCCTTACATGCATGAGGCACTAGGTTCCATTCCTCAGAAAAAAAAAAAAAAAACAGAAGTGGCACTGTGGCTCAAGTGGTAGAGCACTAGCCTTGAGCTAGTGCCCAAGCCCAGAGTTCAGGCCCCACAACCGACCCCCCCCAAAAAAAATGCACATCTGGCTGAGCGCTAGTGGCTCATGCCTGTAATCCTCGCTAGTCAAGAGGATCAAGATTCTAAGCCAGCCCAGGCAGGAAAGTTCATGAGACTCTTATCTCGAATTAACCACCAGAAAGCCAGAAGTGGCTCTGTGGATCAAAGTGGTAGAGTGCTAGCCTTGAGCTCTTCAAGAGCTCAGGGACAGCATGCAGGCCCTGAGTTCAAGCCCCACAACCGA